CGTCGAGATCGACTGACGTTTGGATTGAGACAGGCGGCGGCGAAGGATCCAAGACCGAGGCTGCATTGCTGGAAACAGCGGTTGAGGCGCCGCTTGGGTCGGAGAGGACACTACTGTTATGGGCAGGACCTAGACCTAGTGGGATACGCGACGCTGAACTTGGAGGTTGGCTGGCCTCAGGCTTGGATTTCCAGCTGGAGGGGGTCGCGCGATCGGCATCAAGATGAGCAAAATGCTTAGGGCGAGGGGAGTTGGGAGGACTGTCGCTGTCGCCTGTCAGGTCGATGAAGTTATTGGAAGCGTTTCCCGAGCTTTGACGGAGCGGGGGCTTCTGGTAGGCGCGTTGATCGTGCTGAGAATGAGAGTGGTGGTGGTGGTGAGGGTGGTGGTTTGAAGGATCGTGTTCTTGATTCAGGTGGAACTTGGCGCACTCGTCGACGTAGGGACCTCTTTGAGCAGCTGCGTCCCGATCGGACCCAGCAAAGAAGGACATGACGGTAAATGGCGAGGCGAAAAGCGACAGAAAGAGGGCGCAAAGGCGGTGGCTTTCTGTCGGGAGCTCGTCTGGCGGCGGTTCTGGCCTCGAGCCTCCTCACTTGCTGCAGGCGCAAACACAGACACGGTCGCTGCTCATGTCCTCTTCCCCGAGATCAGCGTCAGCAAAGCCTGTAAACATTGACTACGGAAGTCTCATGCCAGGCGGCCAGGAAGAAGCGCCCGGTGACGTTGCGCGGTCGAAAAAAATGCGACGCAACAGTCGAGATGGCGGAAGGGTCACTTTCCTGCTCAAGCACGCTCTCTTGGATGAGGTTGATGATGAGAGAAGAGATGAGATATGTGAGACGCGTTGGTGAATTGCGAGGCTAAGCGCGTTCATGGGCGGAAGGACATCGAGGGAGAGATTGCAATGCGCTAGTCCCAAACGAGACCGGGGGAGCAGGGGCTGCGCTTCAGGAACTGCACTCAGGACTCAGGCAACCAACGCACCTATCCACAATAACCCACCAAGCACCTTACGGCCCCGTGTATCAGTTGCCCGTTGGTTCCGATGCATTTCAGGCAGTCTGGGTTATCACACAAGAGATGCACAAAGAGAACATGCCTTCTTTGGTTATTTTCTGCAGTAATTCTTTTTTTTTTTTTTTTTTTCCTCTCTGTCTCGTCTCAGCGGGTGGTGGTGGCGGGCTTGCAATTGATTCATGTTACACTTTGGGCTTTGTCATAATGGAGCGCACTCTGAGAACAATGTTTTCCTATCCATTCGATTCATTCGGTGCTGTCTCCTTACGGAATACTCTCCCGGCCGGCTTCTCCTCCTTTTATATTCCGGCGTCGTTGAGGATACCACGCCGCCATACGTCTTCAACCACACCTCTTCCGAAGAGAGAATGGCAAACAAGAAGCCAGGGCACAGAGACTCGAGATTTGGCCTGCGCTCGGACTTTGTATCCCAAAAGGAGGCAAGTCTACTTTGGACGCTACAAACGCAATCCAGCGCGCATGACAAATTTTCGCAACGGAACTTTCAGCCAGGGCGACCATGCTCCATTGGTTTGCGTTGGACGTTGCCAGATGTTCGAGTTCCTCGGGGAAAAAATAATATGCCAGTCACCTAAGCTCAACTCAGCGCAGTAGCGGTCGACGTGACTCGGCCAGGGCCAGGGTTAGGGTTACATGGCCGTCTGGAGTTGGGCGGCCCAGGTACTAGAGAAAGTTTCTTGATTCAATACGTCCAGCTATACATCACTTCCCGATATCGCAAAATAAAAAATTCCTCGTAAGCCTCGAATGAGATGTTTCCCGTCGACGTTCTAAATGAGAAGGTAGCAAGTCAAGATAGGTGGTGTGTCAAGGACATGGCCATAGTCGACATTAAATGCAGTAAGTAATATGAGGGAGCGCCTGGAGATGCCCGCAAAGCAACGAGCAGAAAGTCAATTGGCAGAGCCTACCGTGCTTAATCCGACAGCCGGCTGCACCGACACTCTGGCGGCCGCTGTTTGGACTAATCAAGTGTTCCGCCAGGACGCAGGGCACAGATTGCGCTAGTTGGCGAGTTGACAGATAGAGGCAGTCTATGAAATCATCGCTCATCTTCTGGGACTAGTAGACGACCCTTAGCTTCAAAGAATCTGGACATGCCGATATGCGCTCGACAGCACGAATCTGTATCCAGCGCTAGAGAAGAAAAATATGGTTCTGTTCCTTGGCATCAAAGACGGGCAGGTTCGACTCGAATGCTGACCTGAGTTGAGAGACTTGAGAGACCGGTGCCTAGGAATGCAGATATGTCATCCGCTGGCAAATCATAGATCCTTCGCCCACCAGTTTATAAAGGAAGACGATGAAGGAGTGACACCCCTGAATTTCCGACGGCCAACGTAGAAGGCGATATCAAATAACAGATCGCCCACTCTCTCCTTCATCCCAGAGCCCAGTTCCGTCTGGACCTGCAGCTGCGGAAGGGAACAGACAGGCGTGGGGTGATGGGGTTTTCTTGCAGCTTGCATCGAAGCTTGCTGGTTCCTCTTGTTTCTTCGTCCCAAGTCGGCCCCAAGAGTCCCGGCCGTCTGTTTCATGAGCCCACATTAGGCGAAGGGTCTCGAAGAGCCGGCGCCATCCCGGATGGCGATCGTCCTGGCTGTGTTAGGCCTGCCTCCTCATTGCATAACCGTAGCCTCCTTTTGATCATGGTAGGTCGAGGTCGAAGAGATGAGGAGTGACACTGGCCAGAGCTCCCGGGGTTGTAGCTTTCGAGGGTGACTTTGCGACGGATTCAGCTAAAGATGGCGCCACAGGGTACCTAGAATGTGGGGCTTGCGGCTTGTACCCGCGTAAGTTATTGATGCAGGCACCTGGGTGGGTGGTTAGCTGGGTGACGCTGCGAACAACGCCAAAAACACGAGCTAAAGAAACAGATGACGTCGCCAGGGCGAATGAGGCACAGAGGGGGGCCTGGGGGATTGCGCTGAGAGGTGCTGGGTGCTGCCGCTTCACCTGCCTGACCTTTCTACTACCCATGTCTGTCCAGCCCAACAGGCCGCCCACTTCAAGTCCCGTCTCCTCCGCAACATCCACGCATGTCTTCTGGACCCCTTCCGGCGCATACATATAAACACTCGAGTCCGCATCATCCCAGTCCCGACGCCTCGACCGTCATTCGATCTTCCACAAGTCCCTTGTTCCACCCCGCGATACCATCTTTGCGAACCGCCCTTCACCCTTGACTGGCATATTGTCACGCACTCTGTCGCCTGATTGATTATTGCGACAACACAAACGTTGATAACCTGACTGACATCGTCGTTGCTGACACCACTGCCATCATGCACCGCACCTATTCTATGCGCCAAACGAGGGCGCCCACGGCCTCTCAACTTCAGGTACGAACACCGCGAGCCTGTCTCCCCACCAATCGTCGTCAAGAACAAACTACAGATGCTGACTCTTGTCGCAGAACCCGCCCCCGCCGCCGTCAACCACTAAGTCTGGCCGCCTCTTCCGCGGTGGCTTCGGTATGTAGCACCCTCCATGGCTTGCGCCGCCCTATCTATCGTTCGAAATGCGGCCACTGTTGTCTTTACGGCGACTGACAGTTCACAACAGGTCATGCCCTTCGTCACAAGTCTGCCGGTGCCTTCGGGCCAGACCTTGCTAAGAAGCTGTCTCAGTTGGTGAAGATGGAGAAGAATGTCATGCGCAGCCTCGAGACAGTCGCGAGAGAGCGTATGGAGGTCGCAGTAGGTCAACCCGCGCCGAGGGCATTCCGAAATGCGCATACTAAATTTGGCTTTTCAGCAACAATTGTCCATCTGGGGAGAGGCATGCGACGAAGATGTTTCCGATGTCACCGACAAGCTTGGCGTTCTGCTCTACGAGATTGGCGAGCTTGAAGACCAATACGTCGACCGATATGACCAATACCGCGTTACCATCAAGAGTATTCGCAATATTGAGGCCTCAGTCCAGCCAAGCCGAGACCGTAAGGAACAATCGAAGCCTCTCGTGCCATGCCGATTCTGACAGTGTTCACAGGCAAACAGAAGATTACCGACCAAATCGCTCAGCTCAAGTACAAGGAGCCCAACTCGCCAAAGATTGTTGTCCTCGAACAGGAACTTGTGAGAGCTGAGGCGGAATCATTGGTCGCTGAGGCTCAATTGTCAAACATCACGCGCGAGAAGATCAAAGCCGCCTACACCTATCAGTTTGATGCTCTGAGAGAGCATTGCGAGAAGGTGGCGATTATCGCCGGCTACGGAAAGCATCTCTTGGAGCTCATCGATGATACCCCCGTCACCCCTGGCGAGACTCGTGCTGCATATGACGGTTACGAGGCAAGCAAGGCCATTATCCAGGACTGCGAGGATGCCCTCACCAACTGGGTGACCTCCAACGCCGCTGTGTCCTCAAAGCTGTCAACTCGTGCTCGCACTCTGTCAACTCGACGTAGAAACAACATCAAGGCACGCGCTGAGGGAGGCCATGACCTGTCTGGACAAGATGCCCCTTTGAACGACGACTCGTCTTGGATGCCCGCCCATAACAAGGAGACGGACTACGATGATGAGGAGGACGATGAGGATGACATCCACCATTCCGTTGCCGGAACTGATGACGGATTGAACGGTGAAACCCGAGGACGCCAGCACGAGAGCGTTGTCGCATAGATGCAGCATCTTGTCATGCCGATTACGCCCGGATTTTCTCAATCATATTCGTTTTGAAGGCAGCGAGCATGCAGCTCACGGTCGCGATAATGTTCCTTCCAAGTTCATGGACAGCGCTTGGTTCTGGTGTTAGGGGTTTGGTGCCTCGGTAAAGAATTGAGGTTATGATAGGCTTGCTGCGGCGAACGTGGAAGGAAAGGTAACCAAGGCAAAATCATCGGTTCTCCTAGTTGTAATGTCCAATAATTGCGTAGTTCATCTTTATCGGCATTATTATCTTTAGTCGTCACTCCCCATCCCTTGACTTGCCATCTTCTAATGTGCAGAATTCTAGACAACTGCTGCGTCGGCATATGGGTTGTGTCCTCGTAGTTGGCTAGAAAACTCCTCCACCTCGATCTTTGCAATGTATTGGCCAGGTACTACAACCAAACCCAGGTAACGGGAAGTCATATCCATCGAAACCGACCCGGTGCCTGCGGCGGCATTCTTCGCTGCCTCCACCCGTTGTTGCGCTGACGGTTGGCGATACTCGTATGTATGGGCTAACACGACATTTCGGTCCTAGACATAGCCAAAAGGGTCAGAGAATTTTCGAAGGTATGAGGATGGGGCGTCGCTCACAGGGTCGGTGCATTTGAAAATCCCCAGGAACATGCGACCATCAGTGGCCAAGATGCGCAAGTTCTTGTTGAGAAGCGAGGTCAAGAAGTCTCTTGCCTCCTCTTTGTCCATTGCAGCGAAGCAGTAACGACTGTATTCATCGCCTTCCCCAGCCTCCGTGCTGAGTCGCTACGTAAGATGGTGAGAAGAAGAGCTTTTGGGCCGCAGGTTGTCAGTCATGCCGACCAAGGCTTGCGAGGTCGTCAAGCGTCCCCAAGTCTGCTCGCAGTGGTACCTCCGACTGCGGGGCCACTTGATAAGAACCGATAACGACGCCTCTAGTGCAGGAAAGCGCGTCATTACCTGAGCTCCCCCATGTCAAATGGCATGCCTGTCTGCAGGCAGCCACGGCCTCCCACTTCTTTCACAGAGTCACAACTTCATAAGCACTTTTACAATCCAACACTCGAGAGCTGCCTCTTCTTGAGTAGACCGGGATTTTGCGCCTACCAACGACAATGCGATATCCACTCGGTGGATGAGAAGACCGCTTCTCGTGCCCTTTCGCACTTCGCTGAGCCGAACACCCCCGTGAATCCCGAACAGACCGAACCTGCCTTCGTCCGACAACCCCCTTCGCAGCCATGGGTGTGAACGGCCTCTGGACGGTCGTTCAGCCATGCGCGCGACCGACGAATCTCGCAACACTCAATCGTAAGCGACTCGCCGTCGATGCTTCCATCTGGATATACCAATTCTTGAAAGCCGTGCGCGACAAGGAAGGCAATGCGCTGCGCAACTCTCACGTCGTCGGCTTCTTTCGCCGTATCTGCAAGCTGCTCTGGTTCGGAATCAAGCCCGTCTTCGTCTTCGACGGCGGCGCCCCTGTTCTCAAGCGACAGACGATCCAGGGCCGCAAGCGACGGCGTGAGGGTCGCAGGGAAGATGCTGTCCGCACGGCGGGCAAGCTTCTTGCTGTGCAGATGCAAAGGATTGCAGAGGAAGAGGAAGACAAAAGGCGACGCGATGCTGAGAGGGGAATCCGTCGGGAGCGCGAGGAGCCGCAGGAGGAGATCCCTGATGTGGACAAGATTGTGTACGTTGACGAGGTGGGCATGTCACAGCAGGAACGACAGCGCGGAAGGAAGTTCTTCAAGCAAGACGCGTACCACCTGCCGGAACTCGATGGCGACATTGCTTCGATGGCGAAGGCGGATGATCCTAGGATCATGAGCATCGAGGAATTGGAGGAATATGCAAGGCAGTTTCACAACGGCGAGGATATCAACTTCTACGACTTCAGCAAGATCGACTTTGACGGCGAGTTCTTCAAGAGTCTGCCACCGGCGGACAGATACAACATCCTGAATGCGGCAAGGCTACGCAGTCGTCTGAGAATGGGTCTAAGCAAGGAGCAGCTGGACGAAATGTTCCCGAACAGAATGGACTTCTCTCGGTTCCAGATTGAACGTGTGCAAGAAAGAAACAATCTCACTCAGCGTCTCATGAAGGAAGCCGGCATGACAGGCCTCGATCTTACCCTTAATGGGGGTGGCCGTATCGCTGGCGAGAAGGATAGGGAATACATCCTAGTCAGGAACGAAGGGGCAGAGGGCGGTTGGGCTTTGGGCGTCGTGAGCAAAGAGAAAGATCTGGGTGAAGCTCACAAGCCTATTGATGTCGATGCTCTGGACTTTCAATTTCAGCAAAAGGAGAAGGCCGAAGCATCCGATGACGATGACGATTTCGAAGACGTTCCTGTTGAGGGTCTCAACCGGTTGCCGACGGCCGCTTCACAGGCATCGAGGGATGCAGCACTCAGGAGACAGCAATTTTATGACGGCCGAAGAGAAGCTGAAGTCAACGGTCTGTTTGAGGAAGAAGACACTCTCTTTGTCGGTGGAGACTTGCCTGAACAACACGAGAGGTTGAATGGCGAGAAACGCGAAGAGCGGCTGCACCCGGAGGAGGAAGACGACATCAACCGTGCCATTGCCATGTCTTTGCAATCCCAGCACGGGCAAAATGCCGAAGACCCAGAAGAAGAGGAGCAATTCGAGGACGTTGAAATGCCCGAATGGAAGCAAAAGGCCGTCGAAGCTCCCAAGCGCATCACTGCTACAAGCGGACGAATGGTTGCTCACATAGTCAACAACAGATCTACCGCCGCTGTGCCCAAAAGAAGGCAAAGCAATGCCAGTAGCAGCGACGATGAGATGGACTTGCAAGCGGCTCTTAAAGCGTCCCGCAAGGCCAAGAAAGCTCAACCAAAGCCGGCAGTGCCCAACGTCAAGAACCCGTTTGATGGACCCTTGCCGTTCCCAAAGCTCGATTTAGGATTTTCCATGTTTTCCAAGAAGGCTCAGCCAGCGAAAAAGCCCGTGGAGCCAGCTTCGACTACGCAGGTTCCGCTGAATTTGAAGAAACCAACTCAGGAGATTGAGAACGCAGACCTTGGCGGCGGTTTCATCATTGAGGCTGCTGATGACGAGCACGTGGACGACGATGACGAAGGCGGTTTCCAAAGAGAACCGCAGGAAGAGGGGCCTCGGCCACTGCCACCCTGGATGGTCGATGACTCAGACATTCGTGAATCCATCAAACAACAGCGACAGGTTGAGAGGGATATCAATACCGAAGATAGAGATGCAGCGCTGGAAGAAGAGCGCCGCTTTGAACGCCAGCGACAGAACCAGCTTATCGAGATTCAGTCCTCTGACAGCGAGGATAGTGATGTTGAGATTCTCGATGCTCCTCCAACTCCCAAACAGACCGCGGCTCCAGAGGTACTGTCTCCAGCCGGGGACGCCACAACAAAGAGCCCTGTTGCCGAAACAGCTGCGTCGCCAGAAGACATGGCACAACCAGCGCTCACCACCAGCAAGGTTGCTGCACCGTCTCCGAAGCCGTCACTATCACCCGAGCCTGACTTTGAAGATGTCCAGGTGGACGACGCCGACGAGGACATGCAAGTCACCGTCGGAGAACTTTCAGACTCCCCGGAGCCAGAGATGGAAGACGTCGCGACGGCCGCAGAAGAGCCAAAGCCTGCCGACGAGACCGAACTTACTTTTGAGGAACTCATGGACGGCCCTACGTTGGATGACCCTAACACTGCAGGCGACCCTTTGCAGGACATGGAAGCGGATGTCTTCGCTAACAGCGACGACGAGTTCAGTGACCCCGAGGATGAAGAACTCTACGCCAACCTGGCCCAGGAAGCCGAAGAGCACGCTCGTTTCGCCAGTGAGCTCAACAACAAGTCCGAACTTGAGAACAAGGAAGCATACGAAAGGGAGCTCAAGGCTCTCCGCACACAGCAGAAAAAGGACCGCCGTGACGCAGATGAGGTTACTCAGGTCATGGTCACCGAGTGCCAGGCCCTCCTCCGCCTGTTTGGTATCCCGTATATCACAGCGCCGATGGAGGCTGAAGCGCAGTGCGCAGAACTCGTGCACCTCGGTCTCGTCGATGGTATTGTCACCGACGATTCCGATACCTTTCTCTTCGGGGGCACCCGCGTGTACAAGAACATGTTCAACAGCAACAAGTTCGTCGAGTGCTACCTTGGTTCTGACTTGGAGAAGGAGCTTTCGCTGTCGCGGGACCAGTTGATTGCCATTGCCCAGCTTCTTGGGTCTGATTACACGGAAGGACTGCCGGGTGTCGGCCCGGTCACGGCAGTGGAGATTCTGTCCGAGTTTCCCGGAAAGGACGGGCTGGCCAAGTTCCGGGATTGGTGGCAAGAGGTGCAGATGAACAGCCGCCCCAAAGAAGCGGACGCAACTAATCCCTTCCGTCGAAAGTTCCGCAAGTCACAGGCGACGAAACTGTTCCTGCCGACGGGCTTCCCCAACCCAGCCGTGACCGACGCCTATCTCCGTCCAGAGGTTGACAGCAGCCCGGAGCAATTCCAATGGGGCGTTCCAGATCTCGAGGGCCTCAGACAATTCCTGATGGCGACCATCGGATGGAGCAAAGAGCGCACCGACGAGGTTCTCGTGCCTGTCATTCGGGACATGAACAAACGCGACATGGAGGGTACGCAGGCGAACATCACGCGGTATTTCGAGGGATCTGTGGGCGTGGGTGCGAGAGATGCCTTTGCGCCGAGACAGAAGACTACGACGAGCAAGAGGATGGCGAACGCCGTCAGTAGGTTAAGGGCCAATATGAACGGCGAGGCTGAGGCTGAGGCGCCTGCTGCACCAGCCCAGACCACAGGGAAGAGAAAGTCGAGGGCCAAGACGGTAGCTGCGGAAGAAGATGAGTTCGTGGACAACGACGACGATGAGGATGAGGTTGGGGAGGAACAGAGCTCTCGCGGTACTAGAGCGAGGAAAGGAAAGAAGGCCAAGGCTTCTGCTTAGATGCTTTAGATGTATACCATGTGTCACCATTGTGTTCATCGTCGTTCCGTTCTCGTCTTACGCGTGTGACTGTGATTTCCGAAAGTCGTGCCCGGTCACTGCAGGCAGTTTTTTGCTGGCGGTCAGTGAAGTGGACATCAGAGAACATGCTTAAGGGCCCCCCCGATCCAGGACACCCCCCGATCCCGAGGACTCACGTGGCTGTTCCGAGCCTTGCGACGAGGGCTGAGAAGTGGCGGTATGTCTTGACGGGCCCTTTGCGACTCAGCATCCCTGTCTTGAAGATGGTATCGTGGCTTTTGCGGTGGCGATGTTTGTGCAAAAAAAAAAACCCACGAGTGGGAAAAGGTCGAGAATTATGTGAGTCACGTTTTAGACGGTATTTGGCCGAAGCACCATCATGAGAAAAGAAAAGAGAAAAAAACAGTGGTGTTCATGCAAGCTGGCATTGGTTTGGCCGAGAGGACTTTTTGCTCTCCAGCTGCTTGTCCCGCAGGGCGATTAGTGTTGTGGGTGGAGGGTCCGCCAGGGCTGAACCATACGTCAATCCAGGCCGCTCTTTTCCTAGAAGAGGGTGTGAAAGAGTAATTTTCAGGTACGCCGTTGAACATTCCTGACCTGCACGTGTGCGAGGCCCAAAAGCACAGCAGCTGGGACACAAGAGTTTCCCCAATCGGAGGACGAGGGACGTCGAAATTCTCTTGCGTTTCCACGTGGCGGGGTGTCAGTTGCGAGGCGAAGATCATTCTAGGTCGACGCGCG